TTTAAAAACATTCTACAATGTTAGTCAAAGTTCAAAGTGTATTTTTTTCTGAATGTAAAAGAAACTAACAAATAAATAAGTGTTAAATACAGATCTGAGTTAAAAATGGTAAAAGACAACGGGCTGCTTTATCTATTTAGCCCCATTTATTTTCAGACTTGCTTACAAACCAGAGAAACTCACCACAGGCCCTGCTTGTATGTTTTACACTTGGACTTTTTATAAGAAGCACCCTATTTCCAGTGTTTCTTTTATCCCCTTCACAAAATATTTTAAAGCAATAACAAAAAAGACTAAAGGTGCTTTTAACCTGACAACATTGGTGCTAAAAGGAATCTGTGTAGACCACAGGAGTGCTTTCTTAAAATGTTGCTTATAGACAGAACATTTGTGCCTGGGGTGGGGGGCGGAGGCAGGCTCCACGCCCACCCATCACCCCAAACTCATCTTCTAACAGGGGGAGAGGAAGCAACCAGAACATGACATTCCCGCAGCCACTTGCGTGGGCCTGAGACAGGAAGGTAGCAGGCCTCAGGCCAGGGCAGCCCAGGAAATGGCCTGGGCATCACGTGTACACTGGGTCTTGCTTTCAGTTTGCTTAGGTTCCTGAAGTCAGTGCTGTTCTTCGAACTTGGACAATTTTATTCTATTCTCCTGCATTTACCTGGCTTTTTCTAACCCTACGTGGCTGTATGGCTTGGATGCCTTGGAGAATTCCAGTCTTAGGGTACTTATCAGTCCAAACCAAGAAAAACACAAAGAAAACCAGAAGTTCAAGTTAGCAGGAACCACACCACCACCAACCCCCACTACACTCACGTTGCTTAATTAGGCCATCCAATGCAATGCCTTTAAGTATAAATTACACATACGTTTTCTAGATGTCTGACTTATGAAGTTGATTCAGTGAAAGAGCTCAATGTTTTATGAAGCAATGGCCCATGTAAAATTCAGGCGTTGGTGCATGGCGAGGGTCTGATTATGTCACTGGATGGTAGGGGGTGACTGAGTGCACAAGGTGAAGTGAGAAGCTCATCGCGTGAAAGGCGGTTTCATGTCTTTGGCTACTTTGGTCATGAATTTGAAATAACCAAGACCCCTCCCTCCCAGTTCATCCTTATCTCTGATTTTGATTTGATCTCTGATTAGGATTGGATTTAGGATCCTAAGATTACAAGATATACTTGTTATGGGGAATCGGGGCAATCCTATCAATCTCTTTGACACTAAAGCCAAAAATAGTGAACTCCACTAAAACATGTATATCTTCTGTACATGGCCAGTGTGAAAGGCCTATTATCCGAGGAGGAATTAGGGCAAATTGGTTCACTGCTGTTGGAATTGGACTTCTGCTTGTAGCTGAAGCGGAGCAGATCAGACGGGCAGGGGAGAGGCCTCCATGCCATCCCACGGTCTACAGGTAGGAACTGCTGTACGTGGGTGAGGGGAAGACATTACAGTCCTATGAAGCATGCACGGCTCTGGGCACCATGCCCTCTGCATTTGCTTACCACAGTCTGGCATTCCTTAAGGGCAGGCAGGCAAGTCTATTTCTACCAAGTAGAAAAGAAAATTTCTACATAATATGGCATTTTTCTTCCTCCCTTCTGTGTTTCAAACTAACAAAAGCATTCGATTAGTGAGCTGGCGAAGACTACCGGAACGCCTGGGATCTCAGGAATGATTTAGATTCCCGCTCAACCCCCAAGGGTCTGAATGCAGGGCATTTAGAAATTTAAGCCCCTTTGGGAGGAATTCTGCTTTGTTTGTTTCATAAAGATTGTTCATGCAACTCAAAAGAAGACCCCAAGGTTGTACTATCTGACAAGTTCTATATGAAAAAAAAACATTAATCATAAGGTGTTGGGAGTCATCCACTTCCTCACTCTTCATTCTCGGGGTTTTGCTGCTCCAGTGCGGGAACCGGGATTATTTTTAAGGCCATCTTACACGTTCCGTGTTGCTCAGACGTTGACATTTCCTACTGACAGCTTTCCTAGCTTTCAAATAAGGTGTCATCCTCTGTGAGCAGATGGACTGCCAGTTAGAGCGTTTGCACTGATGCTTCCCGGGCACACTGGAGTAAGGTATGTTTCTGTTTCAGGGATCAAACTCTGGCTTCTTAGGTTGTCATTTTAGAATCTGCTGTGGATGGGGCCTAGAATGTGCTGATTCTGAGAGTCAAGATGTTCTTGACAAATAGGAGCAGGTGGCTTTCTAGGGAGGGCACTGCTTTGGGGAACTTGCAGAGAAGAGCTGATGTTTTAACCCAGTGGTGCTTTGGAGTCTTATATCTAGGTTGACTGGTTATTTTGAACTAAGGCCTTCATATTTGCTACCCATTTTTTCTGAAGCTATGGGAAAACTCATTACCGTGGCACAACTGAAATACCAATTTCAGATATTTTCTGACAAGAGGGGTGTGAAAAAAATAAAAATAATGGTAGAGAAGGGTGGAATGGAAACATTGAATATGTCCAGGGGTATAAGATGCAGTAATCATTGTTTAGTGTTTTAACATTTCTTGGGAGGTAGGTCACCCAATGAGCTTACTCAGCCAAACCAACAGGCTGCTGCCCAGGCTGCATCTGCTCACCGTGACCTTTCTGCCTGGGAAAATCTCCCTCCTCTATGGACAGTGTCAGTCATCACGCACATCTGCCACCTAATCCTCTGTCTCCAGAAACCACAGCGAGGCTTTGTCTTCTCCGCTGCTTCTGCCCTGGGCTCTCGCATAGTGGGTGTGCGGTTGGCCTAGTCATGGATGCCTGGGAGTTCCTCTGAAGGCAGGGGCCTCCTGAGCACCTGAGAAACTCTTTGGTCTAAGCCAATTATGAGACCATCTGATAAAAGCCCACCATAAAAGGCTTTTCTGTTTGGGTAAAGTAAGGATTCAAAAACTGAATATGAGAAAAGGAAATACTAACCAGAAGTAAAAAACCAAAACCAAAACAACTACGAAACAAAAACAAGCAGAAAAACAAGCACCTAGCAAGGCTCCTTGCCCCTGACATGGCAGATGTTTAAGAAGAGCTTGTGAATGGATGAAGCTGAGGGAAAACATTGCAACCCTCTTCCAGGTCCTGACTGTCACTTAGGGCACTTCCTCCCTTTGGAGAACACTCACACCTGCTGGCCTCAATGGTAATGTTTGGGGAGATCGTTTAGAAATTCAGGATTCGGATCTTCAGAGTGAATCCTAAATATTCTTCTTCTGGGGCTCTTGCTAGTTTGCGGGCATGGAGAAAAGCTAAGTCTGTCTTCATGCTGCAGGCATAGACACCGCAAGATATTTTTTCTTTAACAAAATAAAAAGTAGCAGCTTTCACAGCAAATTTCCCACACTGCTGCCTACCCCGGGCGCGTGCCTTTGCTCAGTGTCCCGTGGCTCAGGGAGTCCCAGGGCTCAGGGAGTGTGCGGAACACTGTCCTGCCCAAGGCCTTACAGGAAAACTGAGCGAGGGTAATTCTCATTCCACAGGGGCCGCCTCCTGAGATTATGGGGATCATAAAGAAAATCAATATCCATTTCAGTGCTCTTAATAAACGTTGTAGCGACTTGAGAGGCTTGTAATACTTAAAGCATGCAGCAGGCAGCGCCTCAAAACCCTCTTCTGAGGACCAGCTTCCCCTTACTGATGCTGCATTTACCTGTCGGAGGCTGGCCTCCGAGTCACTTTGGGTGGCACTGTTACTGCCCTCCATGTCCTTTAGTCTGCTGTCTGGGTGTCTCCTTCTCTGCCTTCGGTGTCTCCCTCCAGCTTAATTCCATGTTTTCTGAGAGTAGAGCTCATCACAGTGAGGTCCCTGTGGGGGTAACTTTAGGAGCCAATTAGTTAGCATTAGTCACAAGGTGAACGAGGGCTGACATGAGCATGCTTTCCTCAGATTAGCCTAGGGTAAGCCCCACTGCAAGCGAAGATCCCCAATAAGGTATGAATCATCAGTGATCTTGGTTTCAGAAATATGAAATATAACTAGTGCACATGTAAAGACACTTTGAGTAGTCTCTCTAAAGGTTTGAAGACATCCGACGCAATCCGTTAGTGGGCAGGACAATGAGTACAAATGCCGCCCAGCGCAGCAGCATCTCCGAGCCAGGGACATAAAACTGCTTCAAACGCACGGGAGGAGGTGTGTGGTCCACTCGGACACAGGCCCACGTGCTGGCAGGTGACCTCCTTTCCTCCTCTTGGCCCCAATACCTTTTCCATTTCCTGTAGGAAGGATCTGGCCTGGTGGCACTGTTTTCCGTAGGCTTTCTAGGGACATCGTCCAAGTCTTTGTTCCACCTTAATTATTCCACACTCTCCGTAGGGCGGCATCGCCCAGTGTTGGAATAACGGGTTCTTTTCTCTTTGCCTTCAGACATCTTGCCTCAGATCCCTGGACTGAAGACTGTGCTCATTACCATGCCGCCGTTTAAGTGACTAGGAATTCAGAATAGCAGATTTTTCTACCACCCAAGAATCTCAGTCCTTATTAGGCAGTTAGGTACGTCTTAGTGTCTAAACTTACAGTTCAGAATATAATCTTTGAATCAGCATGGGGCAGTAGGATGGTTTTCAAGGGGTAATAAATATTTCCTTAAATTGAATTATGACTAAGGCATATAGTTTATACATCTTTGCTATTATGGCACTATTTTTTAAAGGAGAATTTTATGGGACTGTACCAATCTCTTTCAAGTAGGTAATCTTGGTACAGGACTACTTTCTTTTGCACAAATGAATATGCAGCTCTGGGTGCTCCCAAATAATACAGTATTCACACTTGATATAAACTCATCAAAACAGAAAAATAAATAAAATTAAAATATTTAATAAAAAAAATTCTGCCATGTATAAGCAAATCAGTTAGTAATAAAAGAGGTAATATTTTATTTTAATGGTAAACTTTCACGCTAACTTAATAGTATAATGGAAAAGTAATATAAACTCATTTTCATAAAAAAAAATCTTTGTTTCCATTTAATTAACATATTAATACATAAGGAAAAGTGGCTTTCAGTTATCTGCTCTTTTTATTTTGCATTATTCTCTGTTTTGTGTGAGAGCTCTGGCCTCCTAAATACAAAAGTCAGTCTCTACATGACTTAGAACAGTGCTCATGGACAATCAATTTTGTTGATAAGAAACATTTTAAATACCATGTGATCAAAGGAGTGTGTGGGGGAAAATAAAGAGGGCGGAGGCGAACAACCTCTTTTCAGTTTCTCTCAGTCACAGGCCACAGAACAGTGCACTGAGAGCATCCACTAAGCAAGGTTTCCCGGGACACCCTCAGAATATCTAGTGACTCACAGGGATGCAGGATAATCAAAGGACATGTATTGTGGCTGCATTCTAATTTTTATGTTTATCCCACTAGAAGGTCCTCAGTGTGTAACATCTATTATAATTAAAACACTTTCTTCTGATATAATCTCACACCAGTATTGTGAAGCATAGTTATTTCAGTGGTGTTAACCAAACTTTGTATTAAATTATATGGCAACACTGAAACGTGAATATAACATAGACAAGAAAACCATATTGTGGTTTGAAGAAAATTGATTTCATATTGGTGACTAAACATTTTTTCTTTTTTTTTCTTTTTAAAATAACCCTCAAATGAAAAAACAATTGTGAAATGCACGCTGAACAGTAGCTCATGGTCTGTCCTGATCTACTTATTTGTGATAAAATGGTGAATTATGAATGAAGAACTTTATTGCTTATATTACATTTGGGAGACAAGAGAGAAATGATTACATGGGGCCTTTTACTGGGGACCTAGTGGCAGGACAGCTAAAATATAGCCTCTGGTTTTGAAAATGTAAATAAAACCTCTTAATCTTTTATTATTATTTTCCCGGAAAAGAAGGATACCCTGGCTTTGGGAAGTAAACTCCGATTACTCGAATACAAAATTAATCTTAGTTTTCACGTGTTGGTAATAAATGTTAATGACATTAAAAGATTTCTTTCCTTGAAAAATGATAAACTAGCTAAATATTTTTCATAAAGGCTCCTTAGTGATTCAAGGTAGAAAAATGTAGGTGAGATTCAGACTGCCTGACACTCCTACCCCCTTCGTATTCATAAATTTAAGAAATTATGACAGGAACTGTATGGGAGTGATAAATGCACCTCTTGAAAAATCCATTAACAACACAAAGATTTGCAACCTGGCTTAATTACATTCAGACTGGTGGCAATTTTGGTTATAACTGTTTTCTTACAAGTCACGGGATTTTGTGCATTTCTGAAGCCTTCTTTTCCTACATCAAGTTGCAAATTCAGAACAGTACTTACGTGTGCTTTTTGGTTATGGATTAGCTACCTAAAGTACATAATTCCAATAATTATCAGTGACAGAAGGGATGAATAAATTATGCTTTAAGTGCAGGAAAATTAAGAGTAAAGATGGTTTGCATAAATTTTTCTTGGTGCATGTACCTATCTTAAATTTAATATTCTTTACAACTGATATGATCCTGAAAGACTCCCCATGAGTTATTAATCCTGAACTATACCACCGCCTGCTTTGGGACAAAGAATACAGTGGAATTTAAATGCTGCAGATGTCACGGTGTTTTGAAAGCTGCTTTAATTTAAGCACAGAGTTATGATGTGAATTGTAAATTCTAGCAGCCAGGGTGAGTGAAATACCAATGCCATAGTCCTCCTTCAAACCAGAATGCAAAGATTAAGCTTCAGGTCGTGTTCACAAAATTACAGCCCAAACCATCCTTCTCTCTCCTTGCTGAAGCGTAGCAGTGAAGCTGCTAAGTGATGGGAGGCCAGTTTCTATAAATAAGAAAAGATTCCCTTAGAAATACAGGTAAAGGGTGCACATGTCCCCACCTTACTCTTACGATTGAAGGCTGGCCGGGGCCTGAAGACCACAGCACTTAATTCCCAAGCCTGTGCCCTGACTTGTCACAGTGTATGCCATCGAAACAAGGTTCCATTTATTTACAATATCTGACAGAAGGGAAAACAGTTCTGATTTTTAAAAAATTGCTTGAATATTGCAATATATTTTTGAGGCCAAGTTTATTATGCTTTTGTTTTAGTCTGAATGTAGTAATCATTAAATGTGCACAAAACTTGCAAGAAGATTGAAATGATAGACAAGCCATTTTTCTCTTCAGTATTATCCTTCCTACTGTTTAGAGTGCTGGGTTTGAGTTCCATGCAGTGATATTCACAGGCAGCAAACAGCCAAAGAGGACAGGAGGCATTTTCTTTCCCATAAATAAGCTCTTCCAATAAACAAGGACCAAACAGTCACCGAGGTGCTCTTTGGACACACACCTGAGCACTAGTACAGCTCCTGAGCCACATGTACCCCTGAGCCTGACCGTCTCTCCACCCACGCTGATCCTGAGCCGTAACTATGTACAGAACATGGGGTAAGGTCCCGGGATGCAGCAGAGGTTTAGCTCAACAGAATCCTAGATGTAACCGTTACGTATTCCTAGGAAGCCTCTCCAGCACAGTGCTTGCACACCTGCCTGCTAAGGTAAGGGTTTCCAGGTAGCAGTAGAGGGGTCGCAAAGGGGGAAAGTGAAGATAGGAGGCTGTCCTGGATTTTCTTCCTCAACAGTGTCCATTTGTCTTCATCCACACCTGCCTTGCTTCGTGTAGTGTGTGTGTGGTTGCACACGAGTGTGTTTCTGAACTAGGGTCATGACGTTCTGACAGCTCAGGAAACAGCACCAGTGCAGGGCATTAAATGCTGGGAGGCCTCCTCTGAGGTGCAGGTACTTCACCAAAAGCATGCTGTTGGTTTTGTGGGCTTGTGCTTTATAGTTTCTCTAAAAAAATTTTTTGTTGCCATTAAGAATGCTTTATCTATGAACTCCTGAAAATCATTTCTTAGAATCTGTTTTGTGAATTCAGACCATAAAAATAAAAGGTGTTTGATGTTTGTAAAGCCATAGCTTAGACAGGAAGACATTTTATGTTTTCCATCTCTTCTCTGATCCCCTGTCTAGCTGCTCTTTTTCTCCAGACCACCCTCCTGTCCTGACTTCTTGTTGTCGCAGCTCTCCAAAACACCCTTTAAAAGCTGCTGCCTCGACGCTAAGAGTGTGCTGTTTGAGGACATCTCGTGCATGGTTTTCTGATGCCCAAACAGAGGCGGGAACTGACAACCTTACTACTAACACAGGAGTGTGACAGTTCTTACACTGCACTTATTTCTGGCCATTAAAACAAACACACAAACAAACCCAGGAGCGCCAAATAATTCCCGATAGAAAACGATGTTTACAAAAGTAATCTTGCCTTGGCAGAGCAGAGGGCCAGCTTCCGCTGGAAGGTGTCCTGCAAACAGGGCGTTACCTAGGCAGCTTCTAGCACCGAGTGAGTCAGGTCTGTGGCACCGACGCGGCCCGTGACCAGGGCCTGGAGTAGCCAAGCTTTGAGGAGCATCAGTGGTCTTGGTGTGAAAAACATCTGTTCTCCCTCACGTGGGCTCTGTGCTTTTCTCTGACAGTGGCCTGGAGTGGCAGGATCAGGAACGCTATGATGAGCTAATAAAGCCCTTGGTAGGACTGTCTGTTCCTTAAATGCATTTGCCCTTTTTTTTTTAAGTGGCACATATTTTAAAAAACAGTTAATAAAAAAATAACCTTAGCAGACTGGTGCAGGTAACGTGGTACAAACTCATTGCAAACGGGAGAACGGGATGTCCGAAGGCTGCGTCCGGCCCCGCCCGGCACTATGTTAACTTCTTTTTGAACGCGCTGAGCTCTTTCTGGAGTTCGCTGAACGTGGGGCGGTTCTCAGGCTTATAATCCCAACACCTCATCATAATTTTAAAGATTTCCTCTGGACAGTACTGAGGGGCTGACATCCGGTACCCTAAAGACCCAACAGAAGAAGGAGATGAGATATGAATGTTCACGCAGGGCATTATGCAGTTTGTAAGTTTAGTACCTTATGTTGTAGATGTAACAGAAACAAAACACCCTTTTAAGGCAAACTGATTGTTTTAAAGAAGTATTTCAGTATTACGGAGCCACAGAATTACCTTCAAGTTCGGAGAACCCGCTTTGTTTGTTGCAAAGTCTGATGTGAGATACATCACAGACAGATGCACATCTGCTCTAAGTATTTGCTTTCAGATGCTGTAGGCAGAGTTTAAAAAAAAACAACCATCTCTACTACCCAGGTTTTTGAAGATGAAGAGAGAAGGATTTGATAGACACTAATTCAAAAGTGAAATAAAAATGAACACGAGTTAGAGTCCTTTACAGCCCGAGAAGAATCTTATTTTTCATTCAAGCTTCGGGCGATCCCGGCCTTGTGCTGGGCGGGTGCCTGTGTGTGTGCCTCGGGAAGGTGTGTGAGGGGTCAGAGAAGGTGGGAAGGAAGCTAGAAAGCCATCCTCCTGCATCAGTTCTACCACTAGGTCCCCCTCGGCTGCGGCACTGCTCTTTTGTCAGCATTCTTTCTGTTGACAGCTATGGACTGCCTGGCATCACCATCACCTACTGTTCCATCGTGATCTGGGAACACCACGGGGTGTCTTCAGAAGCCTTACAAAGTTCTCAGAAACCTCCTGAGGTCTAATTACATTTCGTTTGCAGAGACACTAATGGTGTTTATTTCACATGGAATAAAAAAACAGGAGCTTGAGGAACACTCTCCGATTTCCCTTGACGAGACTGAATGGTGTGCCTTGCAGATGTCAGGCCAGGCAGGGGGAGTGGGAGAAAAGCTGGAGCTCTCTATTTTCAAAGCTAAAAAGGTTTCTGTTGTATAAGAGCCACGCGATCCATGGGGTTCAGAAGCAGATTTACAAACACCTCTGCTCTACCCACACCCCCAAACAGCATGACAACACCCCCCCTTCCCGCCCCCCAGCCTGTCCCTGGGACTGGAGGTGGCCACTCCCACCCTTGCCTTTGGCTCACCTCTTTCCACCTGCTCACGTGCTTGTTGGTTTGTCATTCCAGGGTACGGGCAGACCCCTAAGCTGAAGGTCTCCCAGAGGAGGATGCCAAAGCTCCACACGTCACTCTCAGAACTGTACCTCCCTAGAGGGCACACAGAACCACAGCCAGGTGAGTAGATGAGTAGGTGACCATTTTTCGGGTATGCACTTCTACATCATCACATATTAATATATTTAAACTTACCAAAGGAACTCTAAAACCAGTGATCCTATTCTCTGCACGAGTTTACTCTCCCTAAAATGAACACCTTCCAAATCACATCCCCCCCTCTACCCCCACAAGAACAAATATTCAGCCAGCGTGCAAGCTTGCTTTCCCTGTGGTACCTAACTGAGATGGATGGTTTATATAAAAAAGATATAAGTTTGTACACATCAATGCCTAGGAGATTAAGTAAGTTGGATTTCTGCAATTTTGTCTTCTGCCTGCATCATTTTCATTCTACTAAGATTACAAAGTTAAAGCAATAAGGAAAAGTTTCTTAAATTGTTTACTCATCACTGTTTAGAGATATTCTTACTTGCTTAAAGGTCTTGTTTTTCCCACTGACAAGTTTCATTTATGGAAAATATATTTGTGTGTGTGTGTTGGATAGAGTACAAATTAACAGAGCTGGCTGACAGAAACAACTTCTTTAAAGTACATGGTGCCTTGTTTTGTTGAAGTCCTGATGCACCGGTTTTACTAGGCTACATAAGCTAAGCTCATAGGGTTCTTCTTCTTCTTCTTCTTTTTTAATAATAATCTTCCAGAGAAGCAGAAATAAAAGCCAACACCAAATATATTCTGGAGATGGATGTGAAGTCAAGGAGACAAAGCAGAAAAATTCTTTCCAATATCTAAGAGGTAAGAATTTCCTAGATTTTCCCAACATTTTTTTTTTTCATATAGGGCATAGGGCATAAACTATTCAAACTAATCCTCATTTGCAGCAGTGTTACAGAAATTATGAAGTCATTTCATTTCTACTTCCTTGTAGCTATTCGCCTTAACCTTTCCATTCCACGATTTATAAATGCCCCTCTAAAATCATCCAGTTTCTTTAAAGTAGGATGGTCTTTTCACTTTCTTGAAAAAAGTAAAATGAGAACCAGAGTAAGCCTACATTATGGCAATTTCTCCAAAGGCAGAGCATGGAGTATGCTTACTGATTATCATCTCCAGCTGTGTAGATTAGCTTCCTTCTTAGTAGACTAAGTATGGACATTCACTATGATATTTAGCAGGAAGATTCATTTTCTTGTCTGCATATCAACTCTTTTTCATGTTTGGCATCCAATAATTTAATACTTTTTATGAAAGTCATTCAATGGCTACAGTTAAGACTAATTGATTCGTCCAAGAAAGTACAAGGAATACAGTCAATACTTTCTTTTTGTAAGATAATATCTGGACAGATATCTAGAAAGGCATATTTTATATAAACCAACACTCCATCTTATAACATAACTCCATAACCTTGACCTTTGAAGGATTTTTAAAATTTATTTATTTACATATTTATGTTATTGAGGTAGAGTTGATTTATAATAGTTTCAGGAGTACAGCATAATGATTCAAAATTTGCAAAATGATCAACACAATAAATCGAGTAAACATCTGTCATCACAGTTATAGTTTTAGATTTATTCTCTTAGAACTTTCAGATATGCAACACATATATATTAACTATAGTTACCATGCTGTACATAAC